AATATATATATATATATATATTATATATATATATATATATATATTTAAAACAACAGGAATAAACGTGTGTAGCTTAATATTGCAAAATGTGTTCTTAATGTAATGAGAAGGAAAAAAAAAAAAATGAGAAGGAAAAAAATGAACACAAGGAGCTCGAGAGAAATGGCAGCGAGCCCCCAAAACACTCACGCTGTTTACACAGGGAAGGCTTGTGGGACCCGATATAAAATGCCGCCAGCACCTTGAGGTGAAATAACGAGTGTGACCGGGACAGAACAGTGAATCAGTCAGCACTAAAATTAGCTGCACACCCTCTGTTATTTAAGAGGTGCTCACATATGGTGGAACCATAGGTATTTGGGACACGTCCATTCAAAGATAAGGTGTGATTCCTGATCTTAGTGGGAAAATGTTGTTTAATTCTCATGTCCAGGTGTTGAGTCGTTCTCCCTATGTAATCAGCACCGCAACTACAAATATATTTGTAAACAATAGAATTAATTTGATGGGGAGGGAGAGCATCCTTGCATCCAGAACGAAACATAGGCCGGGTTTGGAAAACTATACGGACCACAGCCGAGAAAAATAAAACAACGCCGAAACATTAGCTGAAATCTGCCTAATTATGCTTTCACACTTGAAACCAATACAGGACAATCTAAGATAAACAGGGCACTTTTTAACTGTACAGAGTTTGACCTTTCTGAACTCCACAATATTGTTCTGGATGACCGAATGAACAGTATCGGGGGGATACCCTAAACCACATAAGGTTTCCTTCACAAAATTGATTTCATCGTCCAAGAAAGGCTATGAACATATCATTAATGCCCTATGAACTAGAGATCTAATTATTTTTATCTTACGTTTTCTAGGACAAAAGGAATCCCAACGCATATATAACCCCGCAAATGTTGGTTTCCGGTAAACAGAGGTAGGAAAAGTAGTCGGTGTCCGATGTACTAGAACATCCAAAAAGGCTAGTTGAAAATTGGTTTCCTTCTCGACCGTAAACCTCAGCGCTGGTTGAATACCATTAAAAAAAGAGAAAAAAACTGATCAGCCTCAATTACTTTATTAAATAAACAAAAAGTATCTTCAACCTATCGACAATACAGTTGAGGACGAAGTACATTACTACGTATTCTCTCCTCGTGAAAGCCAACAAAAATAATTGCAAGTTCCGGACCCAAAGGGGAGCCCATAGCAACACCATCAATCTGTCGATACATAGTATTATTAAAACTGAATTCGACAGACGACGTGGCAAACTTCATCAAATTCACAAATACAGACTCAGGAATACTAGGTGGAGACAAAGAACCGCGATAAAGCAAATCGCATCAAATATTAATTGTTTCCAAAAGAGGGACACAAATGAATAAAGAACAGACATCAAAGGGACACATGAACTTACCTGAAGAAGACAAATTTCGGATGCGGTCGACAAAGGAAAAAGAATCCTTTATACAAAATCCACTTAAGCGCTGCAACACTATACATACATACGTACATATATATATATATATATATATATATATATATATATATATATATATATATATATATAAACTTGTTCTGAAATTAAAGAAATCTTTATATTTCTGCTTCTGTTCTAGTTTCTCTCATTTTGTTATCAATAAACAATTAGTCTGTAGAATTAGTCTGTAGTCATTCCTCTAGCGAAAATAAAGTTAAAATACCTTGGCATTAACCGAATTTATTGCTTTTTTTTGTTTGCTCAGTTTTAAACAACCTACCAAGATTAACGTCATTATTTAAGAGAGAACGCGAATGAGCTGATCTAATCGTTTTACTGCTGAACTAGAGGCAACGATCATTTCTACTCTAACGGTTTTTTTCTCGCACTTCCCACCGGTGGAACACTCTTGCGATTTTTTGCTTTCCTACAACTACAATCGTCAAAAAATTAAACGCAATGTCAATCACCATCTTATGTCTTCTTGAAACCTGTTTCTTTTTTTTTCTATTTCCTCAAACCATAGCTAACCATGAAAACTAAGGCCATTTTCGGAATCAGCACCATCAAATTAGCTAAAAAATAATTTTTGTTTCTAACAGGAAAATCGTGAGTTAGATTAATGGTGTTATAGGAAAACAGTAATAATAAAAGAAATTTTCCCAAATATCCGTCAGTTATGTGCCATGCGTGATACACGATTAGGCGATCATGTATCATTCGATACGTATTGACGAGGAGATTTTACCGCAGTGGGTTGCCATTTTATCGGTTTGCCATCCAAAGCTATAGATAGCTATTTACCCTAGCTGGGGGAGAAAAAGGATTCATATCTTCCCAAGGGTATTGGCGTGAATATAATAATTTGACTGGAAAGTGTAGTCTGTTCGTGCCATGCGTGATACACCTAAGCGATCATGTATCTTTCGATAAATGATCGCCTAAGCAGATTTTTCCCTCGCAGTGGGTTGCCATTCTTTCTGAGGCAGATAACAAGGCTATAGAACCTGGTCTGTTCAGATTTAGATTAAAGGATGCCCAAGGGTATTAGCACCTAAATGAATGCAAGGCGAGTAATTCGAATCGATTACCTCAATCGATTACCATTCTTTCCGAAATATCCATTCATAGTTCTTAAATTATATTTATTTCTCCTCTGTCAAATACAGATGTAAAAACTAAAATATACTATTTGGCGATCAAATGTAAACAATTCGTATTATTTGGGTGATATGGACATGAGTCTCGAGGATGGAGTCGAATGGGTCGACTCCATCGGATGGTTTTTCTACAATAATGGTTGCAATATAGGCAATTTTTAGAAATTGAAAAGAAATAAAATATATCTGAATCCAAATTAGAGACACATGTCATAATTGATGATTTTATCGTAAATGTTTTGCAGCAATTTATCATCCGGATCTTTCTGTCTTAAAAAAGTTGAATAATTTAACAGATTCAAAATTATGAATATTTTTATATAGTTTATATATATATATATATATATATATATATATTATATATATATATATATATATATTACATTAAATGTGCAAAAAAATAATTCACAGTTTGGACGAGAAAAAAAAGTTCAAAATCTGGAAAGTTTTTCATTTTTAATCGTCAGTTTTGCTTCGTTTAATCAGTTTAAAAAAAAAAAAGAAAGAACAGTAAGCCGGTGTTCTTATAGATATTTTATTTTTACAAAATAGTGCTCAATGTAAATTTACAGAGCATTAATATTATAAATTAATTGATTTAAAATATGGACTGACGTTCCAACCATGTTTCAAAAATAGCTAAAAACCCTAATTTTTTTTTGCAAATAAATTGGGTTGTTCCATTTCATTTCTGCGGTAAAATTTACCGGGTTTTTGCCATTCCAAGGCTAAAAATAGAACCCGGTCTGTTCTACAATATTTAAGGAAAACCTATATCTGGAATATTCTGTAACCATGGAAAATTTTAGGATTTACCAGTAAATTTAAAAGTTACTCCAAAAGAAGATGAAATGGAACTAATGCTTTTAATTTATTTGCAAAAATAAAATTAGGGGTTTTAGCTTCTATTTTTTGAAACATGGTTTTGAACATGTAGCGAAAAAACCATATTTTTTTAATTCGTTTAATTTATATAATATATATATATATATATATATATATAAATATATATATAATATTGATAAGGTGGGAAAAATCAAATATTGATAAGATAACGAAGGTCACAAAGCACTGCCCGCCCCGACAATCAAGCTTGCATCGCGTGGGGGGGGGGCATCGAGGAGAGTACGCGTTGGCCCTGCAAATCAGTCATGTATCGAAAGAAAGATGATCGTCCAAGTGTGTATTGCGAATGACACTTAACTGACGTTTGTATACATTTTGTTGCATGGGAATCACGTGTTCACCTCATGACGCATGTGTGTGTGTGTGTGTGTGTTTTATTCCCTAAATGTTGTGTCTATTAGTTTATCTTAATTGCATGGTAAATATAACGAATGTTGGGAGTGAATGTACATTAATAGTAGCTTTATTTTTTTTTTTATTGCGTTGCTTATTTGGTTTTGTTTTATGGCATATCAACCTCAATGGGTTACTTCATGCCGACAACATTTTTTTATTGCTGGTAATATTTTGTTTTGTTAAAAATCTGTTTCTGGTAATATTTTTTCTTTCAAAAAATGTATTGCTGGCAATAGTTAACTATTTGCCCAAAGCTGAGAGCCTAACAAGTGCTACCACCCTGGGTCAGGATGGACCGGGGAACACCAGCAATTGAGTGGTGGTTCCACGTTCCTCAAAACCTCCTTGCTGCTGGATGTAGTTTATCGTCTTACGCTGGACGTGTATGTAGTTTAACGTCTTACCCAGGACGAGTTGCTTATTTACCGATATTCCTTCTAAATATACTCTTCTTAATATCTTGTGTTCGTTTTTTTTTGTTTTTTTTTTTACTAAGCGTTTTTAAATCAAAGTTATGGCCTGTTTTATTTCTTTGTAATACTTTTTTTATGTACGGTTTCCCTTCAGGACGTAGGTGATTATATCTCTCCACTTTCTCATGTCATTTATATATCTCAATACGTCCTGTCCCCTTGCTATTTCTTCCAGTCCCCGCCTCAATCCACTTGCCTAAGCCCGATAAGTATGTCACGCGTTGCTTTCCTTTGTTCCTCTTTATCTCTATTCACCCTGTGAGTATCAGATTTTCCAAGTCCTCCTTTCTCATTACGTGTCCCAGAAATTTCGGCTGCCTCTTTCTGATGTTAGGTATCCTCTCCAAAACCTCATCGATGCTCACATGATCGGTTCATGGTATGTCTAGCATTCTTCTGTAGAACTAAGAAATTTAAATGGGTCATTCCAACGAAGATCCCTTCTGTGTTCATCAATTAGATTTATAACTGTCACGCCTACATGTTTTTTTTATGGAATGTTATGGATACCAGCATCTGATGAGTTGATTCGATTTTTTTTTTTTTTTTGCTGAGCAAGTGTTTGCAATTTTAGTGATTGGACTAATGCACGCGCGTCCAAGAGGACAGTCCACATGGACGCGTGAGCACACACACACACACACACACACACACACACACACACACACACACACACACACACACGCACACACACACACACAACTCTCTATATTATTTTATTCATATCTAATTCTGTTAAGATCTATCTCTCTCTCTCTCTATCTATCTATCTCTCCCTATCTATCTCTCTCTCTCTATCTCTCTCTATCTATCTATCTATCTATCTATCTATCTATCTATCTATCTATCTATGTTTATACCTATCTATCTATTGTCAGCAGAAAAACATATCATGCTGTGTTTTATCTTTTATTACCAATATTTGAAAAAAGCGCCCTTAGATTTACAAGTCTCCCATGATACAGATGATATATGGATGACCAAAAATGATAAAACCTGATATTATCCACAATGGCAAAAGTATATTCGCGACATTAAAATACGGTCATATGATAGGCATAACTCAGTAGTTAAGTAACATGATTATTTTCTTGTATATTTCTAAACGGTGAGAAGGACAGAATACAGGGGGGCGGTGTAAGGGTCTCGTGCCCCCCTATCACCCGAATCTATGGTTTTGATTCCCACTCCATTACATCTCAATTTTCGTGCGGTAAAATACAAATATTATTCTAACCTTATTGTGCACAATAATGAATCATATGCAATATTGGTGAACAATTCAACAAGAAAAATTGAAAACAAATACAATGCATCTAAATACAAATTAGAGACATGTCATAATAAATCATTCCATCTTAAATAAATCAACAATATTTTGCGGAAATTTTTAAGATCAAATTGAAATTTTTCTTGTTAAAAAGTTGAATAATTTTAACTAACACATTCAATATTATGGATAATTTAAAAAAAAAATTATATAGTATTTTTTTTTTAGACAAAGCATGAACAAAACAAATTCACGGATTTAGTCGATCCCCCCCCAAAAAAAAATCACGTCAAAATCCGTAAAAATGTTTGATCCTTTAATAGTCATTTGTGCTCAGTTTAACTTGTATATAAATGTAGGTAAAAAAGCAAATGCTGACAAGATAGTGAGGGCCACAAAGCACTGCACGAAGCTCCAATCAAGCTTGGCCAGGGGTTTCGAGGGGTGTACACGCCGGCCCTACAGGAATAAAACCTTCACTATAAGTTTATATGTACATATTACACGTAGAAACATAAAAAATAGAAAAACTGACATGTTATTAAATAAACATTTCATTAGAAAACATTTTGTTTGTAGCAAAAAATAAAAAAATAATTAGTTTGGGTTTGTGACTAGAATGTCATTATTAAAAAAAACAATTCCGTAATAATCAGATATCTGTGAAAAGTCTAATTTTTGTTGTTGCAAAGTATGTATATACAATTTACCATATTTGACGGTATATAAGACGCACTTTATTTTTACTAAAAATATCTTTTAAAATTCCCTTGCGTTTTATATGACATATCTAGATTTAAAATTCGCGATAGTCGGCCGAAATTAGCTATTTTGCAACCACTATTAGCTTAGAATTTAGAGTAACTTTCATATACCTATTGTCATTATTTAAAAGACTGTTATGCGGGTTAAAAGTGTTACCATTGATAATATTCATTATATTAATTTCATCACGTTTAATATTAGTACTTTGTTTCACTAAAACTATATGCAATAAATTCAAATTATATATTTGTAAAATATATTTGCTTCATTAATATTTTTCTTGAGATAACTTCCTGTTGCATTGGTATAAATACAATCAGAAATTTTATATCCGAATTATTCCAATAAGATGTTTACAAGAGGCAGGTTGTAAAAATCATATAAAGGATATAATAATAATATAACAATTCTTTTTCATATTATTTTTCGTTTAATTGTAATTATGGTTTGTTTAACCAAAATAATACCTCATAAATATAGCCTAGGCTGTATCATTTACTAATAATTTTACTAATTACTAATTTTTCTCGATTTGCCCTGATGAAATTGGGGTGCGTCATATACACCCGTGTGTCTTATATGCCGTCAAATACGGTAGGTAAAATTCAGAAAATCGAAAATTGAACACACGAAATTGAACAGACGCTTAAAATATATTCAGTGTTTTCTCGAATCCAGGCGAATCTAGCATGTGAAGATTGTGGTTGGATCTTGATGAGATGTTTTAGGTTTTGTTTTAAAAATGACTTTAATGCACAGTCCATTGATTGGATAATTATATTTTATTTTGATTGGTTTGTCGGAGTTAACTCTTCCTTCAGGGGTCGCTCTTCGCTGCTATAAATAGCCGCTGACCCTTCGCCTCTCTCTCTTTTTTCCCTCACGCCATCGCGTGGACACCTGGAGGTAAATCTCTCTTTTTCCTCAGGCTTTCAGCTATCAACCTCGAAATCTAGGCGCTAACAAGGGATAGCGTGGAAACACGCTAAGCACAATACACACACACGCACATACAGAATATTCACACACGCACATACAGAATATTCACATACACTTCGTCCTTTGTACTCTTTCCATATATTGTAACTTGTTATTAATATATATTTGTATATACATATATTATCGGTCTTGTGTTTTGTTTGTTTTCTTTGCCTTCTTCTTTGGACTTAATCAAAGTCCAACCTTTTTATGTAGTTGGGCCCGGCGAGCAGGAGAATCTGAACCTTACATTTGTTTCTTCTACTTCTATCAACAACATAACAGCCACGGTCCCCTACAGGTTCAAAATGAGATGGATGTCGAAAGTGAAATATTCTTCTAATATTCAGTTATTCACATTGCTCAAAATACTTACTTTATTGCTTAACAGTGACTACCACAAATAACGTGTACCTTAGTGGCATAGAATATAGAACACCTTTTTTTTTTTTAGTGGGGGTAATATAATTTTAATGCGGACATATCTTGCTCTATTTAACGGTAATCGCAAGAAATAAAACGGAATGACTTCTGAATAGAGCCTAACAGAAAATGAGTTAAGTGGGAGACGATACAATCAGAAGACTGATTTTCACGGTCTCAATCGGAATGCTTGTTTAAAATGGGACACTTTAGAACGGCCCTTACCTTAATTCGTCATATCCTGTGAGATTGAGGGCAGTCTTCGTAAGTAAAATATAGGTCACAGTCTGGGTTTTAATAACGACATTCCAGATACAAATCCAGGACAACAATTTATCCTGGATATCTATGATTATCACAATGTGTGTGTATGCATGTGTGTGTATGCATGTGTGTCTGTGTGCGCGCGCGTGTGTGTGCGCGCGAATGTGTGCGCGCGAGTGTGTGTTCCTCTACTTTTCATAGCAGAAGTTCTTTAGAAGAGAGTTTTGTTTTTATTAGTAGTTTTCACTTTAAGCGTGAAACCGTCATTAGATTTTATACCCCTTGAATTTACGGAGGATCTGGTATTGTCATGCAGTCTTTGTATAACATGCATAGAGACATCGATAAATGAGGGTTGTTAGTGTATTTGAGACTAACAAAATTAGAATTTTCTTTATTAGAACTTAAAATAGCCGCAAAACACGAGATAACCATAGCCAACTGGACACTTTGTAGATGATATGTTAACATGATTGCTGATTTCTGCTGGAGCAGCAAAAGACATCAAGCTTTTCAAAAGCACCTTAGAGTTTCTAAGAAGAGAAGATTTATAGCTTTCGAAGGACAAAAACTGAATGTATTTCATTCCTTTGTATTTTCTTTCTCAGTTTTGATTCAAAAATTGATGACACATATTTGCCTTTATTAATTTTGTGCGAGATTTTTCTGAAAACTTTCTCTGAACTGAAAATGCTGAAAATACGTTAAGTTATTGGGATATTTTTTTCTTTTATGATAAATTATTCTAACCTGAAAACGTTTAAGGTTGGTTCTACTTGGCCCTGGCATATCACTGTTAAATCGGTATTTTAGCCAATTTAAAGAAAAATAGAAATTATCTGTGCTGAGAAAACGTGATGTGATGGGAGAAAATAGACTTGATTTTCAGACTCAGCGTGACAAAATGGCCCAGAAACATGCGCCTATTGCCCAATAACATCTGAGTCAAAAAATTGTCGACCGGTGTTATTAAAAAATATCTAAAATAACTTTAAAAATAGAGAAATTAGTAACTGAGAATGAGAGCCACAACTGTAGTGAGTGAGTTAGTACTTGTACGATTGCTTACTTGTGTCATTATCATATGATATCGAATTAGATGCGTAATTAAATTTTGTAATTTAAAAATCTTTCCTTCTGATTAAGAAGGTATATTCTATTTTTGTGGTCTTTGATCACGATGACTGGGCAGTTAGTTTTAATTGTTCTGTCAGTGTGTATTGTGTAGTTCCATAAAATTGTTACAGCTCCTATCACAGTAACCGGGTATGGGTGGTGTTCATAACACTTTCTTGCAGTTTCCTTCCCGTAAAGTTTGCATATTTTCCAATGCAGATATTATTATTATCATTATATTTCAATTTCTGTAATGATCACACTACCTACCAAGTCTGCGGGAAGACCTAAGGCAGGTAATGGTGTGTTGTTATTGTTATGGGGTCCACCCTTTTCGGATATAATGGACTCGCCCTGCTGCCATAAAATAGCCACAGTCAGGCAGAGAAGATGAGTCGTACTAGAGTCGTACATGAGTCGTATGATAGTCGACAGTGAGTGTCGGTAGTCGGATAGAGAGAAGTAACCTCTTGTAGAAGTCAGTTACAAGCACGTAGACTAAGGAAGTCCTACTTCGAGACTGTATATATCTATCTGTATTTGCTACTAACCGCGTTCCTGGATTTTACTAACAGCATTACCTTTTTATTTTGTGTAAATACATTTAATTTCTTAGCTTAAATACTTGCGTTTGTCATTTATTGGATACCTATTTTTCATGCGGGATCCACAACAGTTATGGCTACATTTCATGATCTGTTTTTCCACCTCTCATAACATCACGAGCGTTTCATGGAAAAAGTCCTACTTAGTGTGTAGTCTGTACTTAACAAGATAAATTTTGTATTTCATATCAATTTTATTATTATTATTATTATTATTATTATTATTATTATTATTATTATCGAAGGTGCCATAAAGTCGGTCGATGGTCTAAGAAGTTTGAGGACCCGTGATTTAGAATAATGTTCTCTTGAGAAAGAAGAAATGAAATTGATTTATTCCCCCCTCACACACACACCTTGGCATTCTCAGTGTGACAAAATGACACAGAAACATGTCCCCATTGTCCAGCAACATTTGGATCGAAAAAATGTCGACTAGTGTTATTAAAAAAAAGATCTAAAATAGGTTTAAAAATAGAGAAATTAGTAATTGTGACAGTGAGTGCTACGACTGTAGCGTGTAAGTTAGTACGTGTACGATTGCTTAGTTGTGTCATTTAGTGAACACGTGTATCGAATTAAATGCGTAATTAAATTTTGTAATTTAAAAATGTTTCCTTCAGATTAAAAAGATAATATTTTTCTATTTTTATCTTCTTATAGCCTTTTCAAAATGTACAGTTTTGCGAAGTGGGTCCATTTGAGAATTAAATATTTCGAATTCGACAAAGGAAACCCACGAGGATATATTTTTGTTTGTGACTTGTGACTAAATGTGATGCGGTAACCAGATAAACCGGTTTCTGACTGGGCGACATTGCTTATTTTTTCTAGTTTTCTTTTATTTTCATGTATGTAAAAATAAATGTCTGACCCCAGCACTGTAATTTGAAATATCACTCCTCGTAGCCAGCAATCATTAAGTCACAAAAGCAGGTTCACTTCACCTATATAAAGAATTTCTGTATGAAACATTAGACGCTATATATGACGCACTCGGGGAAAAATAAAGTTACTGTTAATGGCTTGCGAAATGATCATGTTAAGCATAAAATCAGCTTTTCATGTCCATCGTGTTTACAGAGAAATCATTTTAAACTTTCTAGACTGAGTTCACCTGTTTTATTTTTATGTCGTTTTCAGACTTTATTCACTGATTGACCTTGCAAATACACTTTGATTTAGAGAAGGGGCTACCACAGTGGTACGATGGAACTATTTAGGGGTCGATAAAAGTCTAGGAGTCATAAGAGGGACGGCAAATAAATCTTAGTGACTTATGACTAAAACTCTCCAATTTCCAAACGAATAGAATGACCTTTGCTACTCCTCGTCAAACACGTGACCTTTTCTTTTAACGTTGTCAACCAATTCAATAAAATGGTACATTAATGTATTTATTATATATTTTTATTTTTATGAAGTTTTTCTTCTTCTTCTTCTTCTTCTTCTTCTTCTTCTTCTTCTTCGCCTTCTCTTCTTCTTCACCTTCTCTTCTTCTTCGCCTTCTCTTCTTCTTCTTCGCCTTTTCTTCTTCTTCGCCTTCTCTTCTTCTTCTTCACCTTCTCTTCTTCTTCACCTTCTCTTCTTCTTCGCCTTCTCTTCTTCTTCTTCCTTCTCTTCTTCTTCTTCGCCTTCTCTTCTTCTTCTTCTTCTTCACCTTCTCTTCTTCTTCACCTTCTCTTCTTCTTCGCCTTCTCTTCTTCTTCGCCTTCGCCTTCTTCTTCTTCTTCTTCACCTTCTCTTCTTCTCTTCTTCTTCTTCCTTCTCTTCTTCTTCTTCTTCTTCTTCTTCTTCTTCTTCTTCGCCTTCTTCTTCTTCTTTCTTCTTCTTCACCTTCTCTTCTTCTTCACCTTCTCTTCTTCTTCGCCTTCTCTTCTTCTTCGCCTTCTCTTCTTCTTCTTCTTATTACCTTTCTTCTTCTTGCCTTTTCTTCTTCTTCGCCCTTCTCTTCTTCTTCTTCTTCCTTCTCTTCTTCTTCTTCTTTTTTCTTCTTCTTCTTTCACCTTCTCTTCTTCTTCTGTTTCTTCTTCTTCTTCTTCTTCTTCTTCTTCTTCTTATTATTTTGTTTCTTCTTCTTCTGTTTCTTCTTCTTTCTTCTTTATTATTATTATTATTATTATTAGTAGTAGTAGTAGTAGTAGTATTGATTTATTTTCTTTGATTTCTGATGTCTACTCATTTCTTCCTGGGTCCTGACAAGAGACCTAATGTCAGAAATGTCATCATGACATTTTCCACTGAGAATTAAAAAAATAAAAATAAAATAAAATCAACCATATTTTATATTGATAAAGCCCTCCGTAAGGTTTGGGCTGTACTTGTGAGTACAATTTTTTGTATTCTTTTAAGGCTTAAACTACCAGGAATCCCTTCAATGAGTCTCTCGGAATCTTTTCCAATCGATCCAAGGGCTCCAACTAAAACTAAAATTCTCGATGTCATCATGTGCCACATTTTTGAGATCTCGATTTCAAGTCCTTGTATTTTGATCTGCAGGAACTGAAGAATAAGAAGATATATTCTGTTCTTGTGGTCGTCATTCACGATGTCATGGCGATTACCTTTGATTGTTCTGTCTGTGTGCATTGTAAAGTCCCATAAAATTGTTACAGCTCCTATCTCTGTAACCGGGTCTGGGTGGTGTTCATGCTAATTTCTTGCAGTTTCCTTCCCGTAAAACTTGCATGTTTTCCAATGCAGATATTATTATCATCATTATATTTCAATTTCTGCTAGGGTCACACTACCTACCAAGTCTGTGGGAAGACCTAGGGCAGGTTGTTATAGCTACATTTCATAATTTGTTTGTCCAACTTCCATAACATCACTAGCGTGGGAAAAGTCCTACTTAGTGTCTAGTTTGTACTTACAAAACAAATTTTGTATTTCATATTAATTTTATTATTATTATTATTATTGTCGAAGATTCCATGATGTGGGTCGATGGTCTAAGAAGTTTGAACACCCCGCATTTAGAACAATGTTCTCTTGAGAAAGTAGAAATGAAATTAATTTATTACATCCTCACACCCAGACCTTGGCATTCTAAAATATAATCACCGACTGTTTTCACCTGCCATTCTTTGCATTTATTTTAATCACATATTTATTGCATAAACTCATTGACTAAATTTTACTTGGCACCCAGAGAGAATCGAACTCACTACTCATCTTTTCACATAGAAGTTGTTGTTTGGTAAATTTATCTTTAACATAAGGTATGAGATACCCAGTGAGGATCGCATTCAGAAATGAGTAGTAACGGTCTGCTATACTTAGCCGTCCCAAAATGGCATTGATTAGTCCCAAATTGAACTTGAATTGGTATAGACGAGAGGAAATAATAATTTTTCTATAAAAATGCTTTGTGGAATCGCCTCCCAAGAGGATGCTTTCTCGATCAGTACAATCTTAACAGGTTCAAGTCTAGGGTTTCCCGTTATCTTCCTCACATATCCATATAATATAGGGTGTTTCATTAAGACGGATTATATATAAGGATGTTTCATTAAGACGGATTATATATGAGGGTGTTTCATTAAGACGAATTATATATAAGGGTGTTTCATTAAGATGGATCAAAGTCAGCAGTAAATAAATCAGAATTATTGTTAAAAATTTATTTATTTCTCTATTGGATCATGTCATTTAAGTCATGGCAATTATGTGTGAAAAATAATATCGCCCAAATTTGCGCCAAACCTGACTCATTAGACGCTTAAACTTAATTCACATTTAAAATCGGTCCAAGTTATTGGAACACCCTCTATATGCCTCTTACTCTGTAATCCTCTACCTTGAGTGTCTCTTGGGTCTTGTACAAATAAGAAAGTGAAAAATGTTTAAAAGATAACTGTTTCTAACTTTAATATTTGAGGGAGTAGCCAGAGAGCAATGTACCGACTTCTTTTGACTCTCAAAATCATTGACCTGTGTAGCTCAACGGCACAACTAAACCTACCGGTCCTGCTACACATATAAGACGCACAAGACAGGTTTTAACGTCGTTGTGTTTGTAATCGTGACAGATATCATATATGAAGGTTTGCTCAAATACTTACCCAGTGAACTGAATTATCAACATCTACTTTTCTCACGCCTACACAAACGCTAATATTTAATCTATATTAAAAATCAAAGTGCAGTTTTCTAGGCATCGAACACTTGCTGTAAAACGTTAACGCGCAAACAGTTCTGCAGGCTTTTATGGTTTCTGTTCAAAATGCTCGATCATTGGTGCCCTTTACCAGACTAGGATAACTATATAAATAAAGTCCCTGCCGATCAAATAAGCCATAAGCATTGGGAAAAATAGTTTTGTAGACCTTTTCACAGTTTTGTAGACAATGAGTAGAGGGACGAAAAATTCGGTGGGTAGTTTCGGGATGAGAACTCGGAGAGCCGAGTTCGAATTCCAGTCGGGTTCGCTACGTTCATTTATGAGAAAAAAGCCCTAGGAAAGGTATGGGTTAAATAGTAGAAGTGACTGGGTCCTATAGCCTTGGTTGTCAACAGGTCTACCGTAAAAAAAACGGCAACCTGCTGCAGAAAAATCATCTGCCACGTCAGTCATGACTCAGAATAGATATGATTACCTGATTGTGTATCACCTATGCCACATAAATGACTGATCAATAAGAAAAATCCAAAATGTCTAGACTGAAAAATCTATTTAATAGCTGGCCACTCGTATCCGCCTATGCCTTTCTAGTAGGGCGGTTAGTCAATCCCTGTTGCAGACGTCTGTTCAGGCATATTCGTCTTTGTTCAACATCCACATAATATACCTGTGGTTTATAATGCAACTATGCTGATCGGGCAGTTATAGTTTCTGGGAGAGAGTGCATTATCAACAGTGTGAACAATGCCAGCACACTCAAACCCTCGGTCACGATGACTTCCTACTTCGTGCTAGCACAACCATCGACGGCTCTCCAAATAGTTCCGTCTGCCAAATTCCACTCACAAGGCTTGGGTCAAAGTTTTCAAGCACTTTCTAAAGGAGGTGCAAGCTGGGATAATCCGCACCAGACAGATAACATCAAGAAAGTAGTGATTATTGTTTATATATATATATATATATATATTAAGACATTTCTCTGTTTAACATTCATTTTATAGATACAAATATTTAAGTAAATACTCTGTTAATAATAAACAGCATTTAGCAACATTTACAGGCCTGAATGCCCGAGAAATTTTCAGAAAATATTCGTCTTCCGACAGGATTCGAACCCGTATCCTATACGGAACCGTCATTTAGCTTGACGTACCTTTACCGATTTGGCCACGAAGGAGCGTTCGGTTAGCACGGTCGAATTTACTGTATTTGAACTTCAATCTTCCATGAATCTCTCACGTACATTCATGTCTGCTCATGCCGTATCAAATGTAAACAAATGACGTCACACACACACACACACACACACACACACACACACACACACACACACACACATATATATATATATATATATATATATATATATATATATATATATATATATATATATATATATATATATACCGGATGTGACAACAAAATTGTCCAAATCGTGTAACAGCATAATTGTCCATTCCACAAAATGTTTAATATCTTTAAAACATCACTAAACTGAGTTTCTTTTTTCCAGGTGTTCAGATAAGATGTTTAGCCATCTCGATACCATTTGTCGTAAGAATCAGTGACAAGCCCTTTGAGTTATTCAACTAGAAAGAGAACAGGTTAAAATCGTTTTATGTCAGCCCCAGTCTTCTCCACTGAGCAATGCTGAGAAAAAAAACAAAAAAAAAACAAATCATTTATACCTTCAGTAATGGTAGCAACATTCATATTCTGGCTTCCATCTTGAAAGTCCATTCAAGAACCATCAAGAGAACGGTGAAGAAGTTTAAGAAAGAGGGAACAGTAGAGAGGAAAACTGAATCAGGAGGTCACAACCGGAAGAAGAATCATAATTTCAACTTAGAGCTAAAGAGATCAAGTAGAAAAGATCCAACTCAATCCATAAGACGTTTGGCATGTGAAGCTATGATAGTCCAAAGAGCAATTAAAAAAGACTTTGAAATGAAATCGTACGTGAAGCCTGTGAGGCGTCTAGTTACTCCAGGACAGAAAGAAGAGAAGCTTAGAGAGGGCGAAGACAATCTTGAATAAGTTCGAAAATGATCCTGGAATAATATATATATATATATATTTTATAGATACAAGTAATTAAGCAAATGCTCTGTTTATGATAAACAGTATTAAATAACATTTAACGGCCTGAATGTCCGAGAAATTTTCATAGAAAATATTCGTTCTTTGACAGGATTCGAACCTGCATCCTATACGAAACCGTCATATACGCTGACGTGCTTTACCAATCGGCCACAAAGAAGCATTCGGTAGACAAGGTCGAATTTACTGTTTATAAACTCCAATCTTCCATGAATCTCGTACATTCATAACTGCTCTGGCATTATATATATATATATATATATATATAATATATATATATATATATATATATATATATATATATATATATATATATATATATATATATATATATATATGTGTGTGTGTGTGTGTGTGTGTGTGTGTGCATATATATATAAATATATATATATATATGAACTTTATTTTAATCCTTCATGAGCTTCCAAACTTTAGCTATGATTAATTAATGATGAACATGTCATTTTCGCTTATGATCGATTTCATCACGATTCTTTTAAACTTGGAGAGTAATTATACATTCTTATTGCCCAATAGTGTTATAAAAACCTTGGAGAATTCGGTTAGATATCTTTAATCATTTCTTCAGAGTTTCAGATTTAAATCTAACAATTAGACAATTTTGCTGTTACACCAATTGGACAATTTGGCTGTTACACCCGTTATATACACAAGCAACATAGAACGTTGCTTTATTCTGAAGCTCTTCGTAATCGTGCGGTAAAAGGCACGTCTGATCAGAAGGTGGTTTCTCCAGCAAAGGGAAATGTAGGTTCGAATCTTGCCCGATGACATATATTCTTTATTTAGTTTCCCGAGTATATAGACCGATAAACGAGAATAAAATACTGCTTGGAATAAACGGAGCGTCTACTGGAATAAGAGTATCCACTAAAAATAACGTTTGAATTAATATATATATATACATATATATATATATATATATATATATATATATATATATATATATATATATTAGAAAAATTAAAAAATAAACTATTAATCCCGTTTATTTTAAATGTTAAATATAAATCCCCTCTATTTGAAACACAATTAAAACAAACAATAATCTCCATATAATATATGGACTTCGTCAGCATTTAAATTATGTAACGGTCAGTCTGTTCCCAGCACCTGAAAATTGCGTTGTGCATGAAACTCCGAGTTGTTCTACCGGTGAGGCAGAAGATAAAATACATTTATTTATCAATATATAATTAATATACATAATTAATAGCTTTGTTATATTACACCGAACACTATTGTATTAACACCAGCACTCAATGTACGATTTCTCACACACACACACATATATATATATATATATATATATATATATATATATATATATATATATATATATATATATATATATAATATCGAAAGAATAGTCAGATTTATAATCCAGAGTTCTTTAGCATTTAAGAAAAACAGTGCTCGATACACAGTAGAGCATAATATTATAATTATTAAAAATATATATATATCCATCGATTCTCAGCATCGCTTGAAAATGGAACTCAACTTTAAATTTAATTTATGATATGAGTTTCGGTTTTGAAACATAGGAATTTCTGTGTGGCAATGGATACATATTTTTTTTTTTAAATAATTATAATATACGGCAGAGGAACGAGAAGTTCTGACTTTTATGAAATTAATGATAATCTTCTCAGCATCGGCCTCGCTCTTTCTGTTTATATTCTATGATTGCAAGTATATTGATCTTCTAAGCGTAGCTTAGATGATGGAACAAGGCAGAAGGTATAGGACACCCAGTGAGAATCGAACTCGCTACTCAGTCGTAATTGTTCTAGCAAGATAAGCATTACGCCACGCTGAGGTGCCCCTATGATTGCAAGCATAATGATGCTATTTGTTGCATTTAATATTGCGAAGCGAGAGAAATGTTTCCATAGTAACCGCTCCCATCTTTGATATTCTTGATAGTCGTCTGGATGTAATATGCATGTTTCTTTTGATTCCCAAATCGTTGCACTATGGAACGTGTATAAGATTAATCCATTGTTCATAAAAATGATAATAAATTAATTTTAAAAATATACTTAATAATAGAAGAATTTTATATAAATCAATATATTTCTGTTCTCATATATTGCTGTTTATTTCCAGCGAACTAATAGTGGATTTTTTTTTTTTTTAAAGTTCCGGACCACCGGAATAAAGAGGTCGGACTGTATACGCATAGTGATTTTTTAAGCTCAGCTTAGATGCGCACAATGCCGAAATTACGGAGGCACCCAATGAGCATCGAACTCTCTACTCAATCGTAACAGATCGAGCAAGACAAGCTTTCTAGCCATTACACCACGTCGAAGTGCCCGTATGTATGCATGTATATATGTATATATGTCTATGGTTTTCAGGCACTATCCAAAAGTGCTGTACGTTGGGATCGCCTCCAACACACCGATAAAATCAGCAAGTCTCCTTCCTGACAAGTCGATTCTGGTGAGATTCGAACCCGGATATCATGATCAGAAAGCGAACGTTCTAATCACACGGCTACGTGACCATACCACGGGTTGACCCAAATCTTGAGTGAAATTGGGTAGACGGAATCCTTTGAAGTCATTTTTATGACTTCTGTATTTCATATTAACTTAAACGTTATGTTTCGTGGTTACTTGTGTTTGAGTCGATATTGTGGTTTGTTAAGTTTTGTAAATCTATGTCTATTTCCCTACTCACCAATTTAGTATTTCCGCTACTTATATTCGGGCTATTGTTCTAATCTTTGTTGTTGTTTTCGGTGATAACATAAAAAGATATGTTGATAACTGCCCGAATGTAAATAGTGTAATTAATGATAACTCCTCATCCCAGAAATTTACAGAGAAAAATAATTAAGTATAGGAAAAAATAGGAAAGAATTTAGAATGGGCTGTGTTCGATGTAGTTTCGCCCAACACCGCCAATAGCTACGCAACCAAAACATTACCCTGAAAACTCGACTCATGTTCTTAACTAGCCTCGCCAGTTCTAAACCTTCATGGGTATGTCATGCATGGCACCATAGCCGTTTAGAAATATCTAAACTGTGAGCTGTATGCAACCGCTTTCTCAGGTCAATGGTTAAAAATGGCTTTGTGCGAGTGAAGCCTGTGGGTCTTTGTGAAGACTATCCTTCTTCGAACTTTATGAACTGGCGCTACAGAATCACAAACAAAGAACTTTACCTGGTAATGAAAAGTATATCATTTGAGAACTTTCAACAGCAGCACCAACTAAAATGGATATCACATATAATTCGAAGAGAAAGTAATGGCATAATCAAGATGTTGACATTCCACACTACTTCAAGCAAAAGGCTAGAAAGGAAACCCCCATCATATACTGAAAAGGGAAATAACAGCTACTGGACTGGAGAAACTTCTTTCCCTGAACTTTTGTTTTAAGAATTAAGAATTTATACGTTTCAAACGACTGTGGTAATGGCTAATCGGTCAATGAATGCCGAATGGTTCGTTATAAGGAAAATGCTAATATTGTCATTACCATTAATAGATAGACAAAATAATTGGAACAAAATATGGGTTGGACAAAATAATTGGAACACTTTTAAATTCAAAGAAAATTTATCTAATATGGAGTTGGTACTCCTTTAGCCTTACAGACAGCTTTAATACGTCTAGGAATGGAATCATAAACATTACCAAATGTTTCGTGAATAATCGGGTTTGAGTAGACAACTCAGGTTATTAAACGGTGTAAAGCTACGTATACCGGCCTGTGTATTCGAGAGTCTTAAACTTTAGCACACTACATTATTAGTATTACTTCCTTTTTTACTGTATTCTTTTATAAGATCTCTCAGTTGCATTATCTTTATTGTAACTTTCACTTAAAGTTGTTTTTTGTTGCCATAGCAGGATACGAGAACACAACTATGAAATTCAAGTACACTATTGTCCAGGGATTTGAGTCACCTCCAGTGGTAGGATGTACAGCATATGAAATCACATAGAGAGTGATAATGGTTAAAGAACAGTGCAAATCTATGTCTACCAGCTTATTTATTCAAGAGTCTTAAAGACAATGTGCTGATTAGTAAGGATTGAACCTTGCTCCATAAGGCTGCGTATCATGGAAGAGCCGCTGTGATGAAATCTCTTCTCTCCACTCGCAACATTCAAAAGATGTTGAAGTTGTGCAGAAATCACAATGCTTGGTCTGCAGACAAATGGAAGCAAGTCATATTCTCAGACCCCGACTGCCTTCTTCCAACTGTGAAGCATTGAGGTAGATCAGTGATAGTTTTGGCCGCCATATCATGGAAATGTCTCAGTCCAGTAGCTGCCCTGCATGGTAGAATCAACAGCAAAGATTACCTGAACATTTTGGGAGATCATGTTCATCCAGTGGGCAAGACTTTATTCCCTGATGGTGACTGCATCTTCCAAGATGATAATGCTCCAATACATACCGATCGAGTGGTTAAGAATTGGTATGAAGAACATGAAAGTGAGCTAGAACACATGGAGTGGTCTCCCCAATCTCAACATATCAATATTATTGAACATTTGTGGTGCATTTTGGAACAACAAGTTAGGAGCCACTATCCTCCACCGTCGTGTCTTAAAGAGCTGGAGAAGGTTTTAATGGAAGAATAACTGAAAATTCCTCTGGATGAAGTCAGGAAGCTGTATGATTCCATTCCTAGACATATTAAAGCTGTTTGCGAGGCTAAAGGAAGACCAACTCCATATTAAATAAATTTTCTTTGAATTTAACAAGTGTTCCAATTCTTTTGTCCAACCCATCTATCTATCTATCTATCTATCTATCTATCTATCTATCTATCTATCTATCTATCGATCTATGTCAGTCTTTTCATTATCTATTTATCTCACCAGTTTGTCCATTATCTATCTATAGCCGCCTCTTCATTATCTATCTATCTATGTAAGTATGGGTCTATGTCAGTCTTTGCATTATCTATCAATCTATATGTTGTTCATTATCTATCTATCTATCTATCTATCTATCTATCTATCTATCTATCTATCTATCTATCTATTACAGTCTGTTCGTTATTTATCTGTTTCTGAGACTGGGTTCTGTCGTGGTTGTAATTGAGCGTAACTGTATTTTTTAAAATTGTTGATAAAGAAGATATGGGTGCGGCATTTAACGTCGTGCTCACTCATCTGATTTTCTACTCTTTTACGCGTCGTTTTGTTATTGGTTTTAATAGGAATTTGGAACTCTACATATATTGCTTTCACTGTTTAAAACAGATATATCAACTCATACATGTGTTCCACAATAGTATATAGTAATGTATTATACTAATAATTCATATATATATATATATATATATATATATATATATATATATATATATATATATATATATACGTATACATGGAGAGAGAGAAGAGTTCCAATTCCAGTATGGTCCATCCATTACATTCACTTACGTTCTAATACCCTTGGGAAGGGTATGAACCCATTTCTCCTCCCAGCTGTAGTTAAATCACAGGGATGACTAGGTCCTATAGCCTTGGGTGGCGAACAGTCTAGGGGAAGGAAAATTCTGAATTCAAAACCTGCGGGGTTCGTTTGGATCTATCTATCTATCTATCTATCTATCTATCTATCTATCTATCTATCTATCTATCTCTCGCTTTCTATCTATCTATCTATCTATCTATCTATCTATCTATCTATCTATCTATCTATCTATCTATGTCTACTCATTACGTATCGCTTTATGTCAGTCTTTTCATTATCTATTCTGTGCAAGCCTTCACCACTGTAATCAAATAATATGTGTGGGTAGTCTGCTTGTTGGTTCCAAGAACTGAGCTGCTTGACCCTCATACGCCGAAAACGACAGGAGAGTCCAGTAGTATATATATATATATATATATATATATATATATATATATATATATATATATATATCAGATGAAAATATCTCTGTAAAAAGACGACATCAATAAAGACAAAAGTTTTGCAACATGTATTTATAAAAACAAGTAAAAAAAAGTCATCGTTACGTTTTGAAAATTCTTAAAAATAATTAAATTCTTAAATATTCTTCATACTTTATAGTTTACCTTGATATTCATAATAATTCCGAATCTAAAACTTTTGAAAACTTAACGATGTTTTTTTGTTTTATTTCTGTTTTTATATATATATATATATATATATATATATATATATATATATATATATATATATATATATATATATATATATATATATATATATATATAGATATATAGAGAGAGAGAGAGAGAGAGAGAGAGAGAGAGGGGCAGGCAGGCAGGCAGGCACGGTGGAGTCATGGATAGCGGCTTGGATTGAGGAATCGCAGAGTCGAGTTCGAATTCCAGTCGAATCCATTACATTCACTTACGTGCTAATACCCTTAGGAAAGGTATGAATCCTCTTCCTCTCCCTCCAGCTATGGATAAAATAGCAGGACAGACTGGGTTCTATAGCCTTGGATGGCAACTGGTCTAGGAGAAGGACAACTCTGAATTCAAAACCTGCGGAGGGTCGTTTGGGAACCTTGTGGCATTCGGTGCACCAGGTCTCTGTATTCGTCCCTTCAAAAAGTGTGGATGTTCCTGCACGAAGCCTTCATCACTATAATCAAATCTCATGTGCCGGTGTCGGGCTGTCGGTTTCCTGGAAACTGATATGCTTGACCCTCATACGTCGAATCTCGACGGGAGAGTCGACTATATATATATATATATATATATATATATATATATATATATATATGTGTGTGTGTGTGTGTGTGTAATAATAATAAAAGAACAGTAAGATATATAATCCGGTGTTCTTATTAATATTTTTAATTTTTACAAAACAGTGCTCAACGTAAGTCTACAGAGCATAAATATTATAAATTTACTTATTTAAAGATATAGTTCCATCGCTACACAGGAATTACCATATTTCAAAAACAGAAGCTAAAAACTTCAAATTCAATTATAGAATTAAATTAAAGTCCAAAATAAATTCCTCACATTTGTATTGATAATGTCCATCAGAGGACGAAATGTATCGACAAAAAATAGTCTTTCGTTCTGTTTTTATTCATACACAGCAACAGCCAACACACCCCTTATATATATATATATATATATATTCTGATAGAGATAGGTGAAACAGAGGTAAAATAGATCATTTTAAATAAAACAATACAGGAAAATATATATTATTTAAATTTCCCCAACCACAACACATCAAATTAAAAAAAACATTTACACTGTTTTCGCATGAAAAATTGGCTGTTATTGTGAAATATTCAAATGAATAAAATAAAATCACTATGCAGTCCTTCATTGTCATCGATATAGACCTTTTTTTTTTCAGACGAAGTCGACCTCTTTCCTTCATGGTAGATGGGTTCTCGTGTGGCTGATTATACCAACACGGGAACGCTACACTCTTTTGTAAGTACAGTGTAACCCGGATATAAGAGACCCGGATATAAGAGAAACCCGGATATAAGAGAGATTTTCTCTGGTCCCAAATTAGAGCCTGTGTTAATGTATATATAATAGACCAAACCCGGATATAAGCTAAACCCGGATATAAGAGACTTCTTCTCCGGTCCCGACAACTCTCTTATATCCGGGTTACACTGTATGATACCTGATAGGAACTTGGGAGTCCTGAATTCGCAATTCGCACGTAAGGCGGGTTCAGTTATGATGGTCGTTGGGCACTAGAACGGAATAAGATATTCTTCGTTGGTAGGTGAGTCGATTGAGCAGGCCTCATACGTATACACGCTGCTCGACTTACTCACGAGGAAGGGCCTAAAAGAGGTGTGCCTTGAGAATGATAGAGCTTCTCCCAAAGTGCTTCTTTCCTTGGACGTCAGAATGCTGTTCAGAGAGCTTAACCTATTCCAGCCAACAAAGCAGACCATGGATAGAGCATAGATATCTTAAGATAATTTCCTTGTACTTTGTTGAGAATCATGACAGAAACTAACCATTGTCGTGAACAAAACAAAATCTAGAATTAAAAATTCAAATGCTAAGCACTGACTCATTGATTTTGTTAGAAATTAAAAAGACTCGAATTTACAAACTTTGCTTACCACACACGCAAAAGCGAATCCAAAACAAAATTCGTGAAATTCCACACCTTCATGCGAAATGTTTTTCGGCCAATAGAAAACTAGGAAACCTTTTTTAAAAAAATTCAAATAATCTTTAATTCTCAGAAACAAATTCTTTTACGGACCTTTTCGCGAGCCGACGCGAAGTTTGTTTGTCGTCCAATGTAAAAGCCCGAATCATATCCGGGAGTGAATTCCCAAATGACGTCATCCACACATACGTTCCTGCCTACGTACAAATAAACTCATTCTTGCAAGGACTACTACGAACATTTTGACGACCTTGTATCAACCAAAATACATTAATTTTATTTGTAAAGACCTTAATTGATTTATATGTATATAAATTTGTTGCTTCACTTTACAATTTGGATTCCTTGTTTTATACCCTTCTTATGGTGGCCTATCTAACTAACAAGGCCAAATCAAACTAATCTGATTCAACACTCATACACTTCACTATAACTGAAACCCACTATACCATCACTATTCCGTTAGTGCTGTGAGCTATTTTCACAATATTGGTATTGTGTGGTTTTTAAAAAGCTTATATAAAATATGAAAAACATCATTTATCTTCTAAATTTCTCGTTTCCATTTTATTACAATGATTTTCACCTTGTAAAAGGCCCGGGAGTTAGTTACGGTTAAATGAATTGAGAAACTCATTTGTGTTCTGAACAGCCTCACAAGTATCCGGAAGCGTGTCACTAGCGTTATACAAATGAACCGCTTCAAGAATCTGTCACAACAGAATTGAGTTTATTTCTACGATTGCATCGTTCTTTACTATATATACTGGTTAGGAATACGTTTTGAAAGCGTCGCCCATGTGACGACAACGTGACCATGCTAAACGGAAAGCTGATCATTTTAAAATTTTCAGTTATCTGTTTTGGATAAGACTTGTTTTTTTATGTCCATCGTCTTTGTCAAATTGAACTGAATTGTATTTTAATGAATATTGTCCTGAAGAAGGTTTATTAAACCGAAACGTCAGACGTCGACATTTCATTCATTTTAAACAACATAATTGCATTTAAGGATTTTTGTTTGTTTTTTCCAAATTTTTCTTCATACTGGTCATTTGTATGCTTTTTTTTTGTTTTTTTTATCGTATTTAAAACAACTGAAAACATTAAAGAAAAATTTAGATATTCTATCTGAAAGCATTTATCAAGGTTGAACAACATTTTCACAAATAAAACTTTTTTTTTTATCTCTAAATTCCCTCGTTTAGCCGTAAAAAGCTATTAGATTTAAAAAAGAAAAAAAAGAAAAAAAGGAAGGAACTCTTGAATATTTGAGCAGATATGATGTACGCCAAACTGTGCGGGAAAATACAAGACAGCTGAGGTTGATTCTTGAAAAATGTCCGGAACCTTGTTAGTTTACTTGTACAGTTGAAACTCTTCAGGAAACTGTTGCATCAGCTTTGAATTTATTTCTACAGTTGCCTCTTTCTTCGTAGAAAGAATTCCCCGCTCACAGAAACACATGCAGTTTGAAGTAATTTTGACTTTTATGCGATCGAAGGTTTGCTCAAGATTATTAAATAACAAAAATAGCAAATATTCTTTGACGTTTAAGCTCTTTCCTTAGGCTTAAAAATCTATTTTAAAATTAAAATTAACACCTGGTGGCTTTTAAAGACTTTCCTTGTCATCATTCTCTATGCTATAATACTTTTCTTCTCATGTTACCCCCACACAGCGATTTACCTTCCAAAATGGAATTATTTGGCAGTAATAAAGAGTTTAATACTTACAAAGATCTCTGGTGACCTCGGTGGTCAAAATGAACTTTATTCGCCCAAATATTTTTCAGATAAAAAATATTTTTTACTTCATAGCAAACGTAATATGTCCATTTTGTAGAGAGTAAAGTCACAGCCTCACTACACTAGGCGTCGCTGCAAGTAAGATTTTACGGGGTGATATTGCCATCCACACACCCAAAGTGCTTTGAATTTAGACCTTTCCTTCTCCTAGACTGGTTGCGCTTCCATCTAGTTAGAAATTGCTTCATTTGGTTAGAGACGACTTGCTCTGCTCTTTGATGACCTTTCTTGTTTTTGAATGACCACCATGGTCAACCCCAAATTGTTTATATCACAATTGGATGTCTTTTGAGTTTTCATGTTGAAAGTAAACAAAGTACAGTGTAACCCGGATATAAGAGATCCGGATATAAGAGACCCGGATATAAGAGAAACCTGGATATAAGAGAGATTTTCTCTGGTCCCAAATTAGAGCCTGTGTTAATGTATACAAAATAGACCAAACCCGGATATAAGAGACACCCGGATATAAGAGACTTCTCTGGTCCCGACAACCCTCTTATATCCGGGTTACACTTTATGTGATTATTTGTTTTTTTGATGACTTCCAGGAAACACCTTTGAGGTGAGCCTATGTTATTACTTCTGGTCTTGCGATTATAAATCTAAAAACAAATGGTCTTGAAACTTGCTGTTTGTCTGTGATGCCTGAGAATAAAAATGGGCACACAAACGTTTCGGAAGCCGTGTACGTTTGTTCTAGCGCTAAGTCACGAGTCGTCGTGGTCGAGGGTTTGAGAGAAATTGGCCTTGTTCAACGACTGATCACGCCAAATTATGTGTTCTCTCCCATAAACTATAACTAAGGTCCGCTCAACCTAGTTACAGTATAAGACTACAGGTTGGCTATGTGGGATTTGAAGAAACATAAATTTACCTGAGCAATCATTGACAACAGGGGCTAGCAAACCCAATTCATGAGATGGATGTACTCGATATATATATATATATATATATATATATATATATATATATATATATTGATAGATAGATATGGGTATGATAAAAAAGCATACGTGTACGCACTTTTACTTGAACGTACATATATATTTCTTTCTCAGTTGTTATAAAAACAATGTTCAATGCTACAGATCTACTAAGTATATATATATATATATATATATATATATATATATATATATATATATATATATATATATATGTGTGTGTGTGTGTGTGTGTGTGTGTGTGCTAGTATGTAAAGGCACCTAAAAAAAGCGATACCTAAAGTTTAAAATGCATTTTAAAAATCAAAATCTTTTTGGAAGATTTTATTTTAGTTTTAATTCCAAACTAATAGATTCAATTTAATATTTCCAATAAATAAAATACTTTCAGATCGAATTTAAATTGATAAGAATGTTTTTAGAGAATCGCTAAAATCGGCCATATTGACATATCTGACAGGACAACATAATTCTCTTTATTAAAAAAAAAATTAAAAATAAAATACAATTTTCTGAAACTTTATTTGTAATTAAT